CCTCCTCCTCCTCCGCGGCGGCGGCTCCCGCAGGCACCCCGAATCCCGCCTCCCCCCTTCATTTCCTTGTTTTGGAACCTGGTGGGCCGCGCCGCTGCTTCCTCGAGCTCATTAACGAACCAGCCCGCCCGCCTCAAGGTCGCGAGGCTCCTGGGAAATGTAGTCCCGAAAGCCTCAAGCGCCGTAGGCGCTTCCCCAGCGTAAGAAATACAGCTCCCAGGTTACCTTGGGCCGCCAAAGCCTCGCCCGCACGAGGCATGCACGCCTGCGCACTGGGGCCGCCCCTCCCCCTCAGGTAGCACTGTACTCCAGTTCCTGCGAGGGTAGAAAGCTCGAAGTTACAGTGTGCTTTCTGACATTCTGTGAGAGCTGGTGGAAAGAAGGCCTTTGTTCTGGTGGGAAGGAGGTACTTCAGCTATAACAACCCACGGGCGAGGAGGAAAATGGAAAGTATTTGACAAGAGCCTCGCCCGGCAGTTTGCTCCATTGACTCGAGGCGAAGACTGGTTAGGACAGTCGTACTGCGGTTTTTGTTTGTTTTCTACGGCAATTGGGCCGCCTATTGCCCCGCCCCCCGTCCAGCCGCTCATTGGCGAAGACCAGAGAGTGACGTCCTCCTTGGTGCGTGGGTATCCCCAGGCTTGGCTCCCTTCCTCTCTTGATTGGTAATTCGATGTGCTCGGTTCTTCCTGATAGGTCAATCTTTTTTCTTTACGATGCAAACCCGCATTTCAAAAGCTGAACATTCAGCGGTTTTCTAGTTCTAGCATTGGTCTTGTAACATGTAACTTCTGAACCCCAGCAGCCAATCATCCTTTTCTTTGCGCTCTAGTAGGTTTTCGCCTAGCATCTGTGGTTCGCGTAGCCAAGCTTTGGCCATCTAAGTACAGTTAAAGTGCCTGGATGATGCAGCCTTTTTAAAAACAATCATTTCCGTTGGATTATGAAGGATTTTTTTACGGTCTGTGCATTCTGGTGAGGTGCTTCTAGATTGTTTAGAAAAGTCCCTTTGATCGGGGTTAAATTGGTTTATTTCTTTATGGTGTTGGGGCTCAGGACACGCTACCC